CCCAGGCGGTCAACGAAGCGCTGTAGCACAGGATGATGACTCGGCTGATGAAGAACAGCAAAAGCAATTCTCTCCTTATGCTGACCAGCCAGTTGGTGTTATGCAAGGTCTTCGTGGCGCATATGCGAGTCTCGAGCGTGATCTCCTCATGGCGCGAGATGCAATTGTTGCTGTTCCTGGAGAAGTGTTAGATAGCGGAAGCGCACAAGGTGCTGCTAAGGCCCTGTTGAAGCGAGCTCCCACTGTAATTTTGCGACCTGCTATTGGAGTATCAAAGGCTCTTGGACAAACACTATTGGGTGCTGGAAATTCGTTGGACCCTACTAACAGAAGACGAGTGGAGGATGTAAGTTTTCGTCTCTTTTTAGCTCCTGTGTAATTTCCCCTTTTCAGCACACAAATTTACTGAAGTTTTGATCTAGAAATACAAACGATATTAAAACCATCTGGTGCGAGTTCTAGGAGGAATATTACGCCTCTAATTAACCTGATCCTTGAGTCAAATTTTCATGACTTTCTATTTCAACCTCAACCCTCCATTCTCTACGTTTCTTCTATTTTCTTTTACACACCACAAACCCAAGTTTCATGAGCACTCTCCATTCATGAGCGATTTCGTTTACGAACTATTTACATATTTCCCTCTATCATGACATTTCCCGGGCGATTTGGAGATTTACCCATTGCATTCATGACCTAAGAAACGGGGTTTTATGAGAATGGCGTTTTTTTTTTTTTTTTTTTTTTTTTTAGGACTATCGTTTTGGACATTCGCCTTTTCTCCATTTGGAATGATACCACTTCTACGACATAAAGACCTCTTGCTTTTTGTTTTACTTACGTGTTGTCATTCCCTTTCTTTACAACCTCAATTTTTACGTACATCCCATCATAATCATTACCGCTGATATCAACTTCCTTCACCATGGCTCGCTTTGCTGATTTTGATCGATTTAGTTTGATTGTTTCTTTATTATTTCCTGTCATTGCCAAAGAGATTGATAACTAATATTTAGCATATATCTACCACATAAATTTACACATACATTTTTCTTGATTTGCAAAGTGGTTCGGTTTCTACTCTTTAAGCATCTCTCTTAGAAACACCAGTTGTCTTTCTCTTCACGCCTCTCCTTCCTGTCAAACAATTGCAGTCATTGGATAAACGGGGACTTGGTAGCGGCTGAGTCTGGTTCAAGGAATGCAAATATGCTGCAACCATTGCTGATAAGACAGCAGTTGAAAGATTATCTCTTTAGTTTTCATCGGAGGTTAGCATCCCTCCGATACCTTCACATGCTCAAAATCAATTAAACAGTAATTACGTTCCCAGCATATACTTGCTTCATATTTACTCGTGAAATATCAGGATGCAGGGAATATGTAAAACATCCGGCAGCCAAGAAAATCTTCGATTCAGGAGGGCAAGCGGATAGAAGGGCTTAGGGAAACGGGTTTGTTTTTGAGATGTTTTTAATTCCTTCTGGAAATTCCTCACTTGTGAATGACCAACCTTGCATATCCTGCAAGATAATCCCTGATTCCTTGGAAGGCTTGATACAATTGGTTAAAAATAAAGGTTTGAGAGATAAATTTGCAGTGAGGTGTGCACCGCCTCAGCAATTAATGTATGCACTCAGCCACCTGCGAGCATAATTTGATTCCGCGAATGTTAAGGAATGCACCAAAGATTTGATCTTCATTATTTTGATTTCTTTGAAACAATTATTTCACATGTGCTAATACCTCTTTAATAAGCTATGGTTTCCATGTGCTTGTACTCGATACACCCGATTAAGGGCCCATAGAATAGATCAGGGCATAGTCATAATATCAAGTCAAAATTTTAGGTCCTGGACTATACGATAACGTTACTTTGCACAAAAGCCTCAGGTACAGTCACAAGATGACAGAGTTCGTTTATAATTTCAGGTACAGCTTTTGCTAAGAATAAATCCCACACCCCCGCAACTTAGGATTTGCAGGCTGGTATCGCTATTATTGTTTCAATCCAGCGAGAATTCGAGCTTGTCACAGACGCATGATATATGTGGCGGAGTCGTCGAACACACAAGGGCAAAACATCGGATCCCCTTCAAATCCCCAATTCAGCTCTCACGAGTCCACATTCATAAGCCCCAGCTCCATCACTCCAATTTTCGATATTTAGGGAAATTTGACACGTGAAAAGCATAGTGGATGCAGGTTAAAACCTGCCTTTCTATTCGACTGTATATGCCGTGAAGGGTCTGGGCAGAGAATTTTGGGGGAAACAAAATTAAAACTGTGTAACCTCTCCGCAGGTTCGATCGTATCTGCAAATAGAGATCCACTGTGGCTCCTGATCCGCCCACTTTCGCTTCATCAATCCAGGTTAAGAATCACAGATGTTAGAAGGCACAAGGCAATGGTAACCATTACCTATATTCTCTATTCGAACATGAAAGGGACAGTTCAATCAGGCCAGTCCTTTTATTAGGAAGAAAAGGAGAACAACCAAATCTTGCTCTCTCAAGAGTTTTCAGATGGTGGTAGTCCACCAAGGTAGATTTGAAAACATTGTATCGACTGGTCATTGTTATGTGATTTGTTCGGGTGGCCATTTGATGGCTTTGGAATTTGATCTAGATTTTGCCATCAGGTGGAGTCCGTGGGAAGGAGGAAAGATGATACACTAACCTAACCATCGCAACCCAGCGGGATGGACAGACAGTTGGTATCCTCCAGGCGCTAAATAAGAATTAAATGAAGCCAACTTAGAGACCTTGTTTGCGCTGGGAATTCTTGAAAGACGTCTCTTAATTGGCTAGGAGAGAACGAGACATGTTGTGATGAGATTGTTGGGTCCATTCAAAGATTCCATACTCCTCAAAAACAACTTATCAAAAGGGGCGGGAAAGTATTCATTGGCTCCCCAGAATGACAATTAGCTTTCCCCTTTCACTTTCTTTTTCTTTTTCCTTTTTCCTTCACATTCATCTTCATTGTTGTGTGAATTTGTTGGGAAACATTTTCTGCTAATATACCAATTACCACGTGACCTGATTGTGGCTTCAACCTTGGAAAAATTCCAAGGCTTTTTTTAGGCAATTTACTCCATAGTTTCATAGAGCAGAAAACCCACCTGCAAATTCGTATCAAGCCTGGAAGTGTTATTTGTCATGAAATAGAGATGAAGAAGCAAAAATGAACATCATATCTGAATGATATCATAGGGATGCGAGAATATTCCCCGTCCTTGGATCAAAAGACTGCCAAAATTAACCGTTGCATGACAGAGCTCGCATGCACACAAGCAAAGGGAGCTGCATGAGACGTTACTGCCTGTTGTCCTCCTACCAAACAACCGCTGATGGGGTGGTTATCTCTTCATTATTCCCCAGCTTCTCGATAGTAATTCAAAAAGAAATGTACCCTTCACTGACCAGTTTCTATCCCCACATAATCACACAACCACACATTGTGACAGACATACCGCTTGTCAACGTAACCAACTCCAGAAATCAAAAGATCTGCCGCTTCGAGCGGGTTCCTTGCAGAAACAGCCTCGATTGGCCCTGAATACTCCACGATGATCTCAGAAGAAAACAAAAATGGACACGTCTAGCATACCGGATCACATCCATATCGCAAATCCAATAAAAAAATATTTTTCTGTCCCATTACTAACACACTTTCAGCTGGAGAACTTGTTGAAGGTTTTTGGTGTAAGTAAGAATATCCTAGAATACCATGTTCTGCAACATGACTGGCAGAGGGGAAGCTGGGGCTTGGACTGGTTGATGCTGGAAATGTATCGTTCGCACATCTCATTGGCTAGCGGACATCCCAAGCATCCCACATCCTTTGCAGCTTAACCACCCCTTCCAAAGCCTTCCCTCCACCTCCATCTCCTGCTGTTTGTCTGAGGCGAAAGGGGAGAAGCCCTCCATCCAGCAATTCGAGTCCGTGTACCCGGTGGATGTGTACCCGGCATGTTCCATTGCCCTGCAAATTGGGCTGGGTCACACACTCTTTCGCACACACATTCCATCCATCCCACCATAAAACAACATAAATAATGCCCGGTCCAGGGAGGGCGCTGTCGGTGTGCCTGCTCACGTTTAGGGAATGTGTATTTCGTAGAACCGTTGTTATAAACAGCTCTTTGGTTCCTCACGTTGTATTGGTTATCTCTCATGATAGCCTTAGAAGGTTTTTTATATGTTTTCTTCTTTTCCTTTCCAGCTTGATCGATATTTTAACCTCGTCTTTTTTTTTCACGTAAGAGTTGGAGGAGCCGTTATTCTTCTATATATGAAGAAATAGCAATTGGTACCCGTCTACATCGATCTATTATAGATTCTTCGCAGTCATTCCCATTCGAAAACTGAGGAGAGATTTTCGAGCATAGCAACTGCTGGCTATTGTTATGGACGCCTGTCTTTAAAGCCTTCATGACCTCTTCCTTATAGAGCTTTTCAGCTCCTTTAGCTGGCTTATTCTGCCTAATATCCCTGGTCATATATCGGGCAAGATAAATTCCACGGTCATACCTGAAAAAAAATCTTGCTAGAGGGCGGCATCGGAAAGAATTAGTGATTGCAGGGCATCAATTCTAACGGTGACAAACGCACTACCAGTTGAGATCCCCTTCCCCTTTCCTTCCCTTTCCCCTTCTTCTCTCCCTCTCCCTATCCTCCCCCGCTGAGCTCAAGCCTATGAAACAAGACGTAGGAAAACTTGATATTGAGATTTTACTTCAGGCGGAGTGAGCGGAAACATATTCTCTTTGACCCTTCCAGAGCCTTATAGAGGAGGCCATCCTAACCAGCTGGGCCTGGTTAATGGATAGACGGCCTCAGCAGGTAGAGCTCTGTGTCTTTTTCCCAGGTGTCATTTGGGGTGTTCTGTGTATATACTGAGTCAGCGGAACCGCCGAGAACTGAGCCTCACAACACCCCATTCTGCACAGGTGTATGTGGATGAGTGTTCGTGTCCTCCTGTGAGAATACGGCAACATGTTGCCCCCGGGAACAGATGGCAGGACTGGTAGTAGCATGGTTGAGGTTTATTATCAACAACACGTCCCTCCACCCCTTATCCCTCTTCCACTTTTCTCCCCTATCCCCATTCCTCACCTCATGCCCACGTCCTTCTCCTCTACCCCTATTATCACCTCCAACCCTTTCTCCCAGCCCATCCCTAACCCGCTCAGCCCTGCACCAACCGTTCTTGTTTGCCTGCGCGCTATTGGATGTAGCCAAGCATCCTCTTTCGGCCTCTCGCTTCACCAGTATCGTAAAAATCTTTCCTGTCCATCGTTAGACGAGGCATATACCACTACTCCCGGGCCCAGAAGAACACTGCGAAGAAAACCCAAAGCCCTGAATCTCAACCTTGTTCGCTCTCGTGAAATCACGCCTTTGCCGTCTGTAACCCCTCTATCAACCTCGCCAGTTCCTCTCTCGCGAAGCCCAGCGGAGTTGGTTCAGACAGCCCATTCATTAGAAAGCCATCCGGTGCCTTGTTGCGAGCAGCGGGATATCCCCACACACTCTCCCTATTGCAGCCTGACAGACGAGACAGTGATTCTGCGAAGAATAAATACTGCACCTACTGTTCTTAACAGTTCACCCGGATACTACCCTTCATATCCACCCCGTTCACTACCTCCACCTTACACGCCCACGGCGAGTATAGCAAGTGGAAGCTCCAGAATCAGAAGGCTGGTGAGTGTTTCCTTTATCTCCCTATAACACAACACGCTGTATTTCGAATTCTTTGCACATACAACTCATCCATGGATTCATTGATCAGAAATTGATACATGTTGGTTAATAAGACGCGTCAGAAAGCGTTCAGAAATCAACTGAAGCGGATTCCAGCCAAACTCATTTCCCACGGCAAATCTTGCTCAGAATCGGGGCTTTCTTTATGTTCAAATCAGTTAAAGTCTCAGCCAAACGAAACACAGCACCAATATAGAGGTGTTTCCTTCGAGATACTCAACCGACCTAAACTCCCTTGTTTGTCCCTTACCTCAGACCCTAACCCCACCAACCTGTTCAAGGGTAATTCCTCAGCCTCCCTTTTTAACACCATGTCTGCTCCTGGTCAAAGCTTCCTGGGTAGCCACCCTCCTCTAGGGGAACAAACCCCTCTGAGGCGCTCCTGTCCAGTTAGGTCAAGGAGTGAAGAGCGTCGGCCTACTCCCCCACGGGCTTTGTTTGAAGATCTTCCCACAGCCCATTCCTCTATCACTTCTCGGATAACAAGCCAGAGAAGCAATGTTTTCCCATTGTTTCCATACATCGACCACGCCGTGGATAATTTGGAGCTGGAGCAGGAGCTTGCGTTTGAGCCAACAATTGAAGAACATAACATCGAGTTTCCGTCCAATCAGCCAGGTTCGCCCATATTCTATTCTGGTAAGTACCTTCATTCAAAATTTCATTTATGTGTCTGCCCTTCTAAACATACCCTGATATCAGTAGAAAACGAAGCTTCTGAACAGATTCTGAAGTTTCTATCACCTCGAGAGGTAGCGCTGTCCCCTACTCCTGCTCCAGTTGAAGATGATAGTGATGATGATGAGGACGATATCAAGAACCTCGATGATTCGTACTCAAACACTGCACTGAGCGGTACGTCAGCTGGCCAGCCGTCAAACTACTTTTCGAGCTTAAGGTCACGTTCCGACAGTCGTTTAAATGGTGGAGCAATCCGGAGGAATCCCTCCAGAGTCACGAAGATGCAAATGCCAAACCACGAGCGCAGCATTTCAAGCCCTCTTGACCACCTTTCCAAAGAACTTGAGGAATGTTTTATCAACGACGAAAATGCAGTTTCAGAACGAACATACCCAGCGCCAAAGCATCCATTCGAACGCAGCCTTGAGGCTGCAGACGCAGCAGCACACGCGCAACGGCAGTCATCTATCTACTCGACAGGCGACACGCTGTCAGAGCTATGTAACCAGGCGCTGGCAGACAGTATCCACGCAAGAGATGGGTCAGGTCCGTATGACATCGATCCTCGCCTGTCCAATGACTTTTCCTATGATCACCATCACATGCGGCATTGCCAATACAGCTTGGGTTCAATATCAAGTCCGAATTTCTCCAAACCCATGCACCTGCGGGACTCAGAGCGTCCTGAGCCAAGCACACGTACAAGCACGCTTGCGTTTCCAATCTCCTATTCCTCAGTGGATGATCCTAATCTTCACCATTCAAACTGGCATGCACGTCGGGTCGACAACACTAGTAACAGTTCAATTCCAGCGACCATTGATATTGGTCCTGGAACCCTTCAATCTAGTTCTATCACTGGAATCGCCGATTATGAATTTGTAGATGAAGAACACGATGATATGGATCCGGGAAGCAGCCAAACGGCATCCAGTCGGCAGCTAAGCGGACTTGGGACGTTGTCCACACTCAAGTCTCGCTTTCGATTTCCATCGACTTTGTCGTCATCTCGCTCAAATGGGGCAAAAGGAGGCGATGGATTGAAATCGCAAAGCTTTAACATGTACGCTCTTTCAGCTGTCTACAGAAAGCAGGTTTCTGACCAGATGGAAGGACATAAGGCTTTTAGAAGCGGGGAAGAGAAAGGGGAGAACAGCAAATGGTATGGGCAAGGTGATGATTATGATGGGGGATATGATGATGCACAGGACTGGCAAACAGTTGCTGGCAGCCAGCAGTTTAGAAGTGGGATCAAATGCGATTTCTCGCGCATAGACACAGGGAGCAGCCTGGCTAACTACTCCAGCTATGGGAGTCTTGCGAATGCAGAACCGAAGCTCTGGACAATGTTGACATCACCGGGGGAACCCCAGCAGCAATTTCCTAGTTGCCCCTTTAACACTAACCCAGCAGCGTTGCACACAGGACAAAAAGGGCTTGCCCAATCCCACAAACCGCACCAGAACCCAGAGTTAGACCAAGTCGTGCTGTTGCCGGAGAACCACCATGCGCATGATCACCACAACCACTCAGCTGCAGCTCTAGTTACAACTAAGGCAGGCCTCAGTTTCTTAGACAGCAACAACTCCAGACGGACCCTTGCGCCAGTTCTCGCAGCCTCAACAGCAGCGACTCCAGCTCCTTTGGCCTCTTCTTCCTCGCGTTATCAACACCCGACCCCGCTGCAAAAACCACATACGCACCCTTTCCAACACCCACCACCTGTCCTTGACAAGGGAAAAAGACGGCTGCGGAAACATAGTCTGTACCAGCAACCAACCCCGTCTCGGTTTGGCCCAGGCCCTAGTGGAAGTAGTAAGTTTAATTTCTTTGATTTCTCTTATCATCAGCAACATCAGCCTCAACTACAGAAACAAACTACAACTACCGCTGGTGCTGCAACTACTGCAACCACCAAACCCTGTCGCTGGCAGCAGTCCTCTGTGACTGACTCCATTGGCCCTGCTGCAACTGCAACCGCGTCATCAGACTGGTGCACTGTGTCTTCGTCTGCCCAAGAAGTGTCTGCGCCTGGCCAGGACCCATATCCCTCCTATTTTCCGAAAGAAATCCCTTTTGTTTCTTCCAGAAGGGACACCACAACAACCACCCCCGTCGCGCAACACAATAAAAATATTGCCCGCCGTAAAAAGGCTTTTTCCCATAAATATCCGAGCATGCCTAAATTCGGTACTGAGGAGACTAAAGAAGCTAACTACGAAAACCCCAGTCAGCATTCACTGCCCCTGACCGCAAGCACCCACTCCGCGCCGCGCGACTATTCTCCCGCCAATAGGAAGCAAAAAGAAGCCACTTCCGTTCCCAAGATGCCCGAACGAGCTCATCCCACTCCCCGCTACGACTCCACCGACCGTCTCATTCTGGATCAGCACTCTATCCCTCCCACCCCGCCTCGTTACCCCTACGGGCATTATTCCAGTATCCATTCATCATCCTTGGCATCTGAATCAAGGTTTCAACAGCAACATGACCAGCAGGATGCCTGGCGTCCCTCAGCAGTAACAGGGGCACGTACGATGTCCTGTGGGCTCCGTTGGCTTCTGACCCAAGACACAATCACCAATCACTACTCTTGCAAGAACAATACTGATACCAATGATCAACAAGATCAAAATCGTTGCATGAGAGCTCCATCTCGCAATGACTATGTCCGCGAACGCATTCGTCAGCTTGATGAACCGATAAACGCTGCTGCCCTCCAACACGCGAGAGGTAGATATGCTAGAAGAACCGCAACCACCAACACCAATACCAAACCCTCCACTAACAATGCAATCCCTACTCTCCACATTACTCACGAGAGAGCACGAAACATCCCTCCCCGTCCTTTCAACGTCGCTATCCGCCCTGTCATCAACAATCACTTTGACGTCGACGAAGAATCCCATATCGGTGACTGGTACTACTCCGAGCACGGCCAATACGCGTTCTCCACTGCGCCACGCCTCTACAAAATGTCCGCTAGACATAAAGAACGCGCTGCTATTACAGGTCCAAATACAAATTTTGTTCTCCAACGACGTGTTGGGCGGGAATTGATCATTGGCGCGACTGCCTTCTTACCCTTGGGTTGGTTTGTGCTGGGTTATATTGCGCTTCTGGGCCATGGTGCGGATTGGTTGGTGCACTGGAGGTCACGTGGAGAGGCGATTGGGTTTCACTATAAGGAGGTGAGATTTGCGAGGAGGGCAGCTGGGGTGGTGTTAATTAGTTTGGTTATTGCAGGGCTTGTTATTGGGACTATTGTGGCAGCTCTGCATGAGAACGATTCGTGAGGAATGATGAATGACGATTATGATGATATATGATGGATTTTGGTTTGGAATAAGGGATAGATGGGAAAGTCGTTTAACACGGATATAAATGGCTTCTTAAGTTTTGTTGAGACGACAGAGTTTGTCGGGAATAAACAAGATCCACCGTACACTATCAACCTATTCACGGTTTTCAGGTACAGCGAATCGAATGTACCTGGTTGAGAATTGGAGAACCAACAACCCTTCTCCCTGCAGCACTCGATCTTGAGTCATATCTGCCTCCATTCCCCACTCGCCTGTCTACCCCCTTTTATTCACCTCTTTTTCCTTTTCCCTTCCATTTTGCTTCCCCTTCTTTGCACTTTTTCTCCTCTGTTGTTCCGCCGTCCTTTTAAATGTTTGCGACGTTTTGCTAATTACCCCTTTCATTTCAATTTTGACTTATTTACGCCTCCGCATGTCTGTTATATATGCGTGAAGGTCTGTTTTGCTCTGCTTTGCTCTTCTATGTCGAAATCGTTCTCGAGTGCCGGACCTAATTAATTTCTTCCCCCCCTCTTTTCCTCGAGTTCTTTGCTTTACGTCTTTATACACACTCTGCTGTGGAATCATGGACAAGTCGCGGATACAACCTTGCATTGTTCTTTTCGTCTCTATATTCCTCCCTCCTGTTTTTACCCTTCTCTATTTTCTGTTGTCTAACTTTACATTCACTTTAAAATCTTTTTCGCAATACCCCCGGATGCAGAATTGTCGACAAAATCTTGGACACAGTTTCGCATCATCTATGGTACCTCTTCTCTTTTATTTTATTTTAGTTTTTTTTTTTTTCAGCCCACTTCATATGAGTCTTTACTTTCAATTTGCATCGCAAAGTCTTTACCCATTATACATAATGCTATGTGAAAAAGTATCGACGAAATTCCAGATACACACTCGCAATCTCGTTCTGTCATCTCTAACATTTTTTTGTTTTTTTTCTTTCTTTTCCTTACCTCCTTTCCTTCCTCCCTGAACGCTTAAAATCTCTTGTCTAGAAGCCATCGTCTTTTTCCCTTTTCTGTGTGGACTTTTCCCACAATGATGATGTAACTCTATCCTGTTGCTTTCCCACTCACTGCAAAACTGCCAATCCCTATGTTTCATTCCCACGTGCCAAACTGTTTTTCGCAAATACTGGAGAAGAATTACCTATCCTTCTTTTTCATGCGCAGGCAGGTTTTTGAGTTGTTGGCCACTGAAGGCCCGTTTTTGTTTGACGGGCCGGTCGGTCTAATTAATGCGGCAATCGCAGGATGTATAGAATGAATACTAAAAGGGAAAGAGCGAAAGAAAAAGAGGGGTGTGGGATTTTGCTTTTAGTTACATGTAAATATAGTATAGTATAGTCGCAAAGAGAAAATCCTAACAAAAAAAAAAAAAAAAAAATTAAAACAAAATGGTTTTAATTTTCGATCTGGAGTATTGATAATTTTTTTCTTCATTGCCTCTCTATCCGCTGAGTTGTACACTCAACTTGAGTTCCCCTCAGATGTTGCTTCAACCGCACGCTGTGAACTTCATGAGACTTGGACATAGACCACATCATTATAAATGGATGAAGAAATATATATATGAATGCAGAATTATTATTAAGTGGTTTCTGACACCAAGTAAAAGCATGTGATATGTATATAACCTTAGGGAACCACAAGAAGCATGATAATAGAGCAGCCATTCAACTGTTATACAAATCCACAAGTTCATTTACATCCATCCATAATAACCTTTCCAACACCCCGTTTGTACCAGCAAGGATATGGAGAGATTTCCCACACCCGAAACGGAGATAAATGGTAGTAAAAATTATATGAATGATATGAAACAAGTTGGAACAAATGAAAAGAGATGAGCAGAATTGAGCGTAGGGGGTATATAGCAAAAGTCAAAAAACAGCAAAAAAAGAAGAAAAGAAAAAAAAAAGAAAGAAAAAGAAAAAGAAGAAGAAAGAGGGGGTTAACAAACTCGACATCCCTTGATATCCAATTCCATCAAAAATTTCCCATCACGAAGACATGGAAACCTTTTAAACCTTCTTCAATCTTACATTAAGAAAATCGTTGGCAACGTCTTCATGGCGTCCCTCGGTTGTGAGCCATCCACTTGAATAACGTCTTCAACTCCACGACCGCTCTTCTCTTTCTCCTTCTCCTATTCTGCAACCTCAGCTTCCACCATCGCGATGACAGCAGCCAGCACCAGACTCCTTCGCCGTAGACCCTGCGGTGATTTCGCCCCGCTGCGGAAACCACCGTTATAGTTAGAATTCCGGAGAGAGTGACGGGATTTTTCAACTTTGGAGCCGTGGCTGGGTGGTGATGGCGAAAGTCTAGACTTGGATACAAGTTCTGTGGCAGATCTGTTGAGGGGTTTATGGTTATGATAGTTATCGCTATTGAAGGACGATCGTTTTCGAGAGGGCGGGGGAGATGGCAGTGAGCTCGGGTGCTGGTCGTCGTTGAGCTCGTTTTTACTAGAGCAGGTGCGACCAGCCTCCTCGAGTAAGAGGGCGATACGAACGGTTTCCGCTACCGTTTTGGTAGAGCATTGCAGAAGGGATAAATTTTCCCTGTGTTGGCGGAGGGAACAATACTGCTCGTGCTCCTGCTCCTGCTCGTTCTCGTGCTCGAGAGGGTTGATGGGCGTATTATGGGATGGGCGATAAGGTAGGTTATTTGCTTCAGAGGCCGATGGGCTACGGGACTCAATGTACATCAGCGTCGAAGTAGGTGACGGCTCAGCACAAGATGAAGTATCAACCCGGTCCACATCTGGGGGGCTCAGCGGCTTATTCTCTAGCCAAATCGAAGGCATATTGGCATGTACACTTGCACTGTGAGGTGATGTGATGGAGAAACTTTGTCCTTCATCATTCTCGCTGCTTGCCCCGTTGTCCAAGCGTTGAGCATCTAGCCTTTTTGTTAACGTCCCGATCGAAAGGCGATGGCAGGTATTGTAATTATCTGGGATGGAAGTGGGCGGGGGTGGGAGTTTGAAGGGAGGTCGTGAATGTGTGCAAAGTAAGGGATGGTCTTTTGAATCTCGGTGGCAAAACGAAACGGGAGAGGGAGAACGAGAGCAAAGGGGAGAGATGAGGTTGCTGTCGAAGTCAATCAGCATGCCTGTGTTGTAACCGGTAGTTAATGGCGCGCCGGAATCTCCCTTTGGAGGGGACGGGAACGAAAAGCCTTCGAACATGGCAGCAGAGGATAAAAGGCGACGGTAAAAACGAATGTTATATATGATAAAATAAATGGGATAGGGCAGTAAATGCCACCTCAGAAGACTTTAATACTTTTAAGAACAAAAAAAAAAAAAAAAAAAAAACAATAACAAAGAGCCGAATTGTTGGGAGACGCGATGCGATTTAAGGTTCAAGGGAGGAACGAGGCTCAGCAAAAGGGAACCAAGGGTGTTGTTGTATGTAATTCGGGATATATATATATATATATACTCGGTCTGGAGACAACAATTTGCCTGAAGAAGGGGGTAGCAGGGCGGCTACAGATTCTCGTTTCGTCGTTATTAGGGAATGAGGGGCAGCTCCAGGAGGCAAATCCCCAGTGAGAAAACGCGGGTAATGTCTATCAGCCAGGGAACAATGGGTCCGAAAGAACTGGTGACATTTCAAGCACAAGCCCTCCAGCAGGCATATGAAAAGAAAGATGAAGCAGAAGAAGGATGAAGTTGAAGATGAAGATGAAGATGAAGATGAAAGATGAAAAGGTGAAGAGATGCCGTTGGAAGGTGCGTCGAAGATGGGGGAATAGGAAGGGGCCCGGGTGTTGTTTATGAAATATTTGGCAGGAACCTGGGGTATGGCCGAAAGGGGAAGGAATCCAGAACACCGCTGGAAGGAACTAGTGCCGCGTAGCTCAGCAAGGGGTCAACATTAGGTTTGACGCTATTCTAATATCGGCCTAACGGCATCTCCCCCATTGGTCAGCAGCCTGGGGAAGCCTTCTCCTGTGGCCTTGCAAGGCGTGGAACGTGGTTCGCTACGGAGGAATAACTCCACAAGCTGCTGTTAAGTTGCAACTAACTACGTTCGTTAGAAATAGTTATTATATATAAACTTGCTCCGTACTCTCGGCAACCGCATTTCCCCTCCGGGATCAGCCCCTGTCAAAAGTGCAACTACGGCAACTGTCGATCAATTTAGACATAATAATCATGCACAAGTAGAGGATAACAGGGAAGATGTCTGTTTGAGCACACAACGCGCTTTCCCAGGTCCAATGTCCGTCTGTTTGCAGTTTGCTTGGCTCTTCCTTTCGTCCTTTGAAGGTGGACTCCCCCGAACCATCTTCTCATCATATTCCCGCAGCAATTATATAATACCAGGAGGGCGGTGTACGGTCCGACTGTGATCCCGCCGTCTATCTTTAGCATTACTTACTCCTTTTGACCGCAAAGGACAACAAAAATAAAATTAAAAATAAAATTAAGAAAGAAAATAATTAAAAAATTAAAAAATTAAAAAGTTAACATAAACAGGTCATATACATATACATATATATATATATATATATATATATATAAATGATTAATAAGGGGACGGGGTGATCATCATTTACTTGAACTAAATTTTCTCGAAAGCATCGCCATTCGCCATTCTCCCGATCCCAGCCCGACATTGGTGTTACAAAGGCTAACAATGCAACATGACCTGCATTGCATCCCAGTCAAATCCTTCTTCCAAAATTCTTTTTGAAAATTCGCCGCTTTCCGGACCCAAGGTCCTGCCTAAGGTAGGGGCTTCAAAGGTTTCCTTCTTGCTCTGATATATAGTTATTACATGAGGGGCAATGTTTGTCAGCGAACCAGTAACTCGTTGACTAATTCTCGAGGAACCTGGATACATGCTCTGTCCTGTCCCGTCCCGTCCCAACAAAGACTGTAAATCCTTCCTTCGAGCATTGTTTTATATAGACACAGACACGGGCGTCATGGAAATTCTGCCCGGCTCCGAGGAAGATATATAACTCAGCAAGGTCACTCGTCTCCCAATTCGATGGTATGATAGGATCAAAGAACAGGGCTAACTGGTTTTACAAGTCCTGCTCTATATCCACTGCCCCTGCTACGCCAATAATAGCGAAACAGCTTGTTATATTTCTAGGAGGCGAATCTCTGCATCGGCATCCGTAGTTATATAAGTAATGGAGATACATACATCCATCCATGGGTGTGGATTTGTCAGTCAATTCTCCTGCGTGTGAAAGGTGACAGGACGACCAATAATTTCCCTTGAAGAAGATGATTATATTTTCCTTTTCATGAAATCACTGCAGCAAATTGGTCGGCTCAATTTTGAATGAGCCATTAAAACAACGTATAACTGGTTAACTAGTTTAAAGAGGAAAATATCCCTTAAATGTAAAAAATAACCCCAATTGCCGTGAAATTCCTTTTTGTTGTTTCCCCCCTGGAATCCCCCAGACCCTGTCCAGGCTAAGTCATGTAGTTAAACCCCAACTAATATGGAAAAATAAAGATGCGCCACTTTATGCAATTCTATGTTAGACCGACTGGCAAATGGGCCGCTGTCTATACTAATGGACGGGTAACAATTCCACAGGGGTCAGCTGACAACCCTAACACTCTAATCCTTTCCCCAAGCCGAATTCCGTAACGAGTTGGGACGCCATGAAGGTCCCCGCTTTCAACACTACGACAAATCACCAAACGGGAGCATCCCAAGAACTACCCAAACACCCCCAAAACCGGCAACGATCCTTTTGATTTAAAACATACTATCGCACGCAGATAGATAACCATGGCCACTCTTCTGAAAAAGCCTTTGAAACTCGCCCTGGTGCAATTAGCTTCAGGTATGTTGCCCATGACATCATTGGCAATTTAACGTGACCCCCACCCTTTCCCGCAAACAGCCACATTCAAAGATATGATGCTCCGTATATTGAAAGTGACACCACCCGAAAAAAACAAATAAATAAAAATAAACAAAAAAAAAAAAAAACAAATTAAAAATTAAAAATAAAATTAACTTGCAAAATGTCATTTTAACGAATATGAACATGCAGGTGCCGATAAAGCCCTCAACCTCTTTCACGCGCGCAACAAAGTCCTCGAAGCCGCAAAATCAGGCGCATCCCTCATCGTGCTGCCGGAATGCTTCAACTCCCCCTACGGCACCCAATACTTCTCCAAATACGCCGAAACCCTCCTCCCCTCCCCACCTTCAAAGGAGCAATCCCCTTCCTTCCATGCCCTTTCCGCCCTCGCTTCAGAGGCCAAAGCTTATATCATCGGCGGCAGCATCCCCGAATTCGCCCCAGAGAGCAACAAATACTACAACACCTCCCTCGTCTTCTCGCCCACAGGCGCGCTGATCGCCACGCACCGCAAAACGCACCTCTTCGACATCGACATCCCCGGCAAAATCACCTTTAAGGAGAGCGAGGTGTTGTCTGCCGGCAATAAGATTACAATTGTCGACTTACCAGAATATGGCAAGGTGGGGCTGGCGATCTGCTACGACGTGCGGTTCCCCGAGTCAGCCATGATCGCGGCGCGCAGGGGTGCTTTTCTACTGGTATACCCGGGCGCATTCAACTTGACTACTGGACCCTTGCACTGGTCGTTGCTGGGGCGGGCGCGGGCCGTGGACAACCAGGTCTACGTTGCGCTGTGCAGTCCGGCTAGAGATATGAATGCCTCGTACCATGCTTGGGGGCATAGCTTGGTCGCAGATCCGAAGGCGGAGATCTTGAAGGAGGCTGGGGAGGTGGAGGAGATTGTCTACGCTGATCTGAATCCGAAGGCGATTGAGGAGATGAGGAAGGGAATTCCGATCTATAATCAGCGGCGGTTCGATGTGTATCCTGATATTAGCAAGGGGGTCATCAGGGAAAGTGAGTGAGGAGGTTATTGAGTTTGACGGGATGTCTCAGAAGAAGAAGAAGAAGGAATTGATGGAAGTGGGAGGGATTGTATAACATCCTGTTTCGAGTATTCCATAAGTGCTTCAAATATCACGATATTTATGCTCGTTAGGTAGTTATAAAAGGCGATAATTGTACAGCGACGTCTATAAAATCCCTTTGTAATTCAATGCGTTGGACAACATTTGCCTTTTTGATCCTGCACAAAGTCGATTATATAATGCAATTCCCAACCCTTGGGATGAGCAGGATCGCAGTTTCCTTTGACACCCATGAGGAATGCGTCTCTAATTATCCCAAAGGGGAAGGAGGCCGCAACAAAATATATACCACGTGACATAAACATGGTCATACCAGTTTAGGATAGCTAAGCGAGTCACACCGATCATTTGCGCTGACAGAAAACTCTGACATCAACAGCGAACATTTCGCACCGCAAACGACGACGACGACGAGAACGACAACCATCTATCCCACGCCAAATCTCTGCCATACCTCGCAGTAAGTCCAATCAAGCCAGTTTTTTGATTATTTGAATACGTTCCCAGCAATCCATTTGTCGCCCTCATATCCGTTCCAGTTCGATATCTAACTATACCGATTTTCTATACGAATGAATAGGACATGTCTTCCGCCAAAGCTGGAAAGAAGAGCCAACGCTCTGCCATCTCCGACGTTGTCTCGCGGGAGTACACCATCCATCTTCACAGAAGAGTATGTGCCTCCAATTTGCCATCCCCTTGAAAGAAAAGAAAATCGAAGAAAAGGGGGAGAAATACACAGCGCAAAGCAAATTATCATCTTCTTTCTCATGCGAGCATGCTGGTGAAAGGGACTATGGAAAGTTAGGGCGTGAAATGAGCCGCGAAAGTGAAAGATAAAGAATTGCAATAATGGAAAGCGGATATGTGTTGTGGTTCGGTTCGATTCGAAGGACTGCACCGCTGGTGTACACCGCACGAGACGACACGATACTGCAACACATACATGATGCATACCGAGATGTAGAGGAGAGACTGAAGAGAAAAGAGAAGGACTTTCAAAAACACAAGAAGAAAGAGAAAGAGTCGCGAATTGGTTTTATGAAGTCCACTTTCTATGGCCCCAAGCTACTGCTGCATTAAGAAATTGGATGAAAGCTTTCTTCTTCTCCAGAAAGAAAAAAAAAAAAAAAAAAAAAAAAAAAAGACACAAAGCAATTGGGCATTTCGGACGGAAGACTGATTTTTAAAACTCTTTTTTCTTTTTTCTTCGCCGTTTGTAGGTCCATGGTGTTTCCTTCAAGAAGCGGGCACCCAGAGCTATCAAGGAGATCCGCGCCTTCACTGAGAAAGCTATGGTACGTTTTAAAACCCACCCTCACTCCCCAAAAGAAAAGAAGAGAGAAGAGTTAAAGAGAGAATGAAAATGAAAACAAAACAAAAAACTAACCATACATCGGGGCCCCCTTTTGCCGCCCCCACGTCCCGTTCCAACCAACAGGGTACCAAAGACGTCCGTCTCGACCCCCAGCTGAACAAGAAGGTCTGGGAAGCCGGCATCAAGGGCGTACCCTTCCGCCTGCGCGTGCGCATCAGCCGCAAGCGTAACGACGAGGAGGGTGCTAAGGAGAAGCTGTACTCGTTCGTCCAGGCTGTGAATGTGAAGAATGCGAAAGGTCTGCAGACTTCCGTGATTGAGGATGCTTAGATTTGATTGATGGGAGAGGATGGAGCAAGGAAGGAAGGAAGGAAGGGTTAGCTGGATAATTCTCTTTGCTTCTTTTAATATCGACCCGGCTTCTTTTTTCTTTTTTAATGGGTGTACCTTAACGCTTCTTGCGGCTGGGTCGGAATACGCCAGGGAAAAAGTTGTTCAAGAGGACCGGATGGATTTTTTGTTCATTGACGTATCATCAGCTGGAATTTCAAACATGAATTCAATACCCTCCTCACCCATTTCGAAAAATGAATTGAGGTACGCTGGACGCTGGAAACTTTAACCGTATACTCACTCGTACTCCAGCAGTCACTCACAAATATACGTCTGCCTGCAAGATCCAAACAATAGGGGCCAAAATGGCAGAAGTTGTAGAAATCATTCAATTTCCAATATCAAAGTGCAAAAATTGCCAACGCGCCCCCATCCACCCCACCCCTCAACACGCATACATGGATTATATTAAACCGTTCCAAGTTTTCCATATACAATCTCGAAAACCTACCCTGCTACAAAGACTCTAGCCATCTGCACATACTGAAAATGCAGTATAACGTAAAAGGCCTAATTTCATTCTCTCTCTCTTTCTCTGCGCGTGTGTTGTCCTAACTACCTAAAATGCAAGTAAAGTAAAATAGAATGTGCAAGTGATAAGAAAGCACAAGTCGCTATGCTGGATAAACAAAAGATGAAATACGGAAAGAAAGCTCGATTACAATTCTGAAATGCTGCCGTGGGATGAAAAGTGGGGTCAAAGAGCATGAAAATACCTTACTAGATAGATGCGTGTACGGGATTCCTCGTTGGGTGGTTTGGGGAGGCCCTCAGGGATATATATATATATGTTGAAACATTGGAAGTTTGTTAGGGGGAGGCGGGGAGAAGGAGACGTAAAATTACAAACACAACGAAACAGAAAAAGAAGAGAGACAGAAAACGTACGGCGGTAAAGGGGGAAAATGGAAGAGAACTAAAGCTGAAATCGTGAAGTTGAAGCCGTAAACGGGAAAATATGTACAACCGGGGACGTCAATGGGCTTAAAACATAAGCTGAGAGAAAAGAAAAAAGAGAAAAAGAAAGGCTTCAATATTTCTCCAAAAGAAGAGGGTTTCCCCCGAGTGCGGCATTGTTTCAAAGGGGGAGGATTGGAATAAAAGGAATATATACTCACTACAAAATGAATAGAAGCGGAAGTAGAAATGTAACAAATGAGGACAGGAAATAGAAAATGCAAAACACGTAGACGAAAAGCGAGAAGATGCAACAAGAAAATAATAATTGACCGGAGGAAAACGAAACAAGAAACACCACCAGGAAGACAGATAGATATTTTATAAAAGAAGATAGGGCAAAGAAAAAAAAGTAAAAAAGAAAAAAAAAAAAAAAGATAAGAAAAGAACAGAGCTACTTAAAACCCATCCGTTCATTCGTCCGTCCATTTCCATTTTCGGTTTTCCATGCTCACATTTCTCGCTATCCCCCCTCAAAGCCTTTCTCTCCCCAATCTAACCTAAGAGCCTATAAACCTATCCCCATACCAGCCATTGCAGCCTCATAATATTCATCACGAAACAATCAACAAGGAGCAGGAGGGAAACCTTTACAAAATAGAACAAAACCAAGACCAGCAAGCAACAGCACACAAACCGCTTAAAAAAATTCAAACAAATTTTGCGTTCACTTCTTATTCTTCTCCATCACCTGCGCAAGCTCCACAGCCATCTTCTCCTCCTTGACCCTAACAACCCACTGCTCCGGCTTAGCCCCATCAACAGGCACAAGAAACTGCACAGCCGTGCCTTGATTCTTGTAGTTAACCGGCGCAATCAGATTAGCATTAAGCAGCACACGACCGCTCGGGTCAGCGCGGAGCAACACCCGCGAACGGCCCGTGGTTTTATGTTTCAGGATCCGCAACAGACCCAGACCCACAATGTGCCACTTGGGTTTATCTTCGCCCGGTGCTGCCTTAAACTGCAACGCCTTGGCACGCACGTCGAATAATTCGTCTTCGTTTTCTTCGCCTGCGCCACCGCGGAGCAGGTCGACTTGTGGGAGGTCTTCGACGGCGTCTTCGTATTCATCGGCACCGGTATCGGAGAGGTTGGGGGTTGTGGCGCGGCTTACGTCGGCGGATGTAGAAGCGGAGAACGAGAAGGGGGACAGCTGAGAGCTGCCATTCGGTAGGATGGAGCTAGTTGATCCGGAAAAGAGGGTGGAGGTGGCGGGCACGGAGGTTGGAACTAGAGCAGGTGGGGGGGTAGGTGTGGACGTGGGCGAGGATGCGTCCGGGCTGGCGGCCATGATACCAGGAAAGGATTTCGAATCAGAAAGTTCCGGGCTCGGTTTCAGTGGGGATAGAGTTCCCGGAGATTTGAAATCGAGTCCGTTCGTTTGGAACAAAGAGGTGCTGCTGGATCCTGGAGAATTGAACGAGGAAGAAAATTTGGGAGTAGCAAAAATCGAAGAACCGATGGTATCTTTCTCTGCTGGGTTTGGCTCATTGATGCCATCTACCCCCTTAGCCCCAGGTAACTCCTGCCGGACAGGTTTGCCGTTCTCGTCCAGCTCCACCCGGTCAAATAGACTACGGCCACCACCGTTGCTGGTTGCTGGAGGCGTTGGGGAAGATTCAGATTCCCTTTCCTCTGTAGACACAGACTCGGTGCTGGCATCGCTATCGTGCTCACTTTCTGAGCCTCCGGATAAAGGAGAGGTAGGAGCCTCATCGACACCACTGGTGGGAGACGCCGCAGAAGACGGTCCGGTCAAAATCGATGGAGTGCTGGCTCTCTGCGATTGGGACACGTATGATGTTGCAAACACAGTCAGAGTGTCAGAAGCGCCATTTGCAGTAGAATCGGCATCATCATCAGTCTTCTTCTCATGGTTGGTATCCTTCGTGGACTCAGATTGACTTCCACCAAGGCTGAATATGGATTTGCTAGCAGGTTTCTGAAATACGCTCGAACTTGCAGAATTATCGCCAAAAAGCTTGGATCGCTTGCTAGCCTCATTAGAGGAGGCAGCGGCATTTGCTGTGTAATCTGCCTTGCGCTTCCCGGGGGGAGACGTAATCGAACAAAACGATGCGGTCACATCTGAAGACTTCTCACTAGAGAAGCTACCATTCATATCTGTAGTTGAAAACGACGACGTGGCGCTGGAAGCGTGATGGTCAGCCGTTCCATTTTGAGAAGCAATGGAGTCCAAATCTCGGGCTTTCTTGCGCAAGGAATTTTCTTCCATAACTAATGCCTTGCGTTTTGTTCCTGATCTAGGCAAAACACGCATGTTGGTGGGAGCTCCAATAGTCTGTCGCATTATAATATAGAACTCGATCAAGGACTCAAGATCATCGGTACTGGGATCAGTAGTTGCGATGTTCTTCTTGAAGGAGGTGTTCAACGCATGCACGCGCCATTGTGTATCAAATTCCGCGCGCTCATCATTGTTAAGTTCGTGTGGAATAGCGGGTGGGCCGTATGACGAAAGTCGAAACTTAGGAATTATAGGTTCTTTTCTCTTGGTCGAAGGCGTTGGTTTCGCTGGCGTGCTCTCCTTGGCCTTGGAAATTGCTCCACCATTGGTTATTGCACCGAACAGTGGCTTCACCGTCGTTGTTGTCGTAAAGCTCGGTGTAGGTGAAGGAGCGGGAGGCGTTGATGGAACCTTTTCTGAAGCCGTTGGGTTCTTGGATCCAAATATGTTGCTGGTTGCCGGTTTATCTTGAGAGAGGCTTGAAAACAACGGCTTACTTTGAGTAGTTGATGTTGTCTCGGTAGAAGAAGTTTGAAAGAGGCTTTTCGTAGTTTGAGTGTCTTCCTTTGGCTTCGCCTCTGGAGTGGCTGTGGAAGGATTCCCGGAAGTCTGGAACAGATTATTCAACCTAGGGGTAAAGGAAAACGCGGATGTGGAAGCAGAAGCCCCTGAAGTAGCCGGGGTGCCAAACATCGAGGTGGCTGGTGTAATTTCAGCTGGTTTGCTAGCACGACCAAATAATGAAGTGCTGCTGGGCGTAGACGGAAACACAGGAGCAGCTGGGGCCGGCGATGGAGACTTGGGTGAAGTTCCGGCAGCTGGAGCGGGTTGGCTGTTTGAAACGGATGCGGAGGTTGTTGACTCTGCAGGCTTTGAAATACGACCAAAAAGCCCAGTCCCAGTAGCAGCAAGAGTGGATGATTCAGGAGCACTAGCAGCTGGTGGAGCCGGGGATTGAGATGACGATGGCTGGTTTTCGCTTGCAAATTGATTTGATGACTGCTCCTTTCGCTTTGAATTATCGCCAAAAAGGCTGAAGGGTGCAGAGGAGGGAGCTTGGAAAGAGTTGGTAAACGCTGGAACCGAAGAGGTGGCACTGTCTGAGCTTGTTGTGGACGTAGCAGCTGCTTTCTCTTCAGGTTTGCTCGCCTGTCCAAATATCGAGCTGCCAGCCATTTTGGATGGGGTAAATGAAAACTTTGGAGACGGCTGCCCAATCGCCGACGCAGGAGCTGCGGGGACGTCAGACTTGTTCGGGTTTCCAAAGAGTGTGCTGCCAGCGGAAGTTTTTGGTTGGAAAATAGAACTTGAAAAAGGTTTAGAAGTGGAGGGAGTAGAAGTCTGAAAGAGAGATGGTGGGCCTGATGGCGAAGTGAATGATGGCTGCGAAACCCCTGACACAAAGAACTGATTTTGCCTATTTGCACCAGCACCAGTTTTATTATCAGGAGAAGTTTGCATCTCATCACCTGGGTTCCTAACTTGAGAAGCAGTGCCAAATATGCTTGTAGATGTTGAGGACGCGCCGAAAGTGTTACTTGATTGGCAGAAAGGAGCGGTTGATGTTGCCGGTGCTGCAGAAGCGGGAGGTGCAGGAGAAAACGGCGCAGTGGCATTTGGTGCTTTGGAACCTCCAAAGAGGAAAGAGGTCTGCTGCGGCTGCTGTGGTTGAGATACGCCAAAGATATTGGGTGTTTGTGCTGGCTGAGAGGTGTTATTTGGGGTGCCT